TACTTCTTTTATTTCACCGCATTGGGTCGTTTGTGTTAAGTTTTTTTGCGTCTTTATGCCGACACAAGGAAGATGTGATTCAGTTTAATGCTTCCTACTTATAAATGGTTCACATGGTGGTACTAATGGGCTTGTATATCGCTGTGTATTTTAGTATTTTTGTATTGTTATGTATTTTGTGAGGTGTATAATGTGTGGGGGAACTCGCTACTTAGTGATTATTTTGGTTTTGTGTCAGAGATAAATTGAGCAGTAAAACGTTTAACTTTCTGGCTTTTATATATCTACTGTACCTCGTACTCCAAGATGGGGATATCGTAGTTGTGGGGTGTCTATCTATATATCTGTCTAAATATCATCCCATCGATCTATCTAAATAGATAGATAGATAGATAGATAGTGAAGGCACATACAGGGTTGAAGCCACCGCCGTGTATTGGTTCTGTATCATTGTTTTAACGTTTTCTTTTTTTAGTAAAGATATGAACAAAATTCAATGACGAGTAAGCAAATGGAGTCTAGAGGCAAGGAAATCACAGGTGAAACCACTTGAATGTGAAGCTGCAACACCTGGTGAATGATAACAAACTATCACTAAACTTTGTCTAATTTTAGTAGAGGTGCATCACTGAGCACTGCCAAACTTTGACCTGTTCTGGTTGAAATCAGTCGTAGGTAAGTGATGGTTTGTGTTTAGATAGAGCTTACTGTACCCCGCGTGATTAACTTAATATATACACGCTGACTTCCATATCTAAACAATACCTCACTAGTCGCAAATCGAACCCTGGGCTTTGTTCTGTTTCTCACATAGCCAGTTCATTCATCTTATTTTTAAGCAACGTGAACCTCCATTGGGGATTGCCCGTGCCAACTATGAACAGGCTTTGTGTGATATAAAACAAAGCCCAGGATTGCTTTTGTTGTCCTTGTGGCGCCGTGGTTAGCGACCCCTGTTCACACGCAGAGGTCCAGGAGAACATAGTTTTGATGGTTGATTTCGATTCATTATTAGATTTAAAAGAAAAAAAATTCTATATACCTAGCAAAAGTGTGGGTTAACTCCACCAGAGGGCCAATTTTAAGATGCTGACATCGAATAAAGTAAACTGTAACAAGGGGAAAGCAAATGTCACATTAATGACAGAAAATCTACAGCAATAATTGGAGACATTGAGTGGTAAGAACAATTATTATTTTTTAAATAAATAGTTTTTGTTAATCGGTTTTTAGATTGTTGCTGTTGAAATATTTTAATCACAACAGCAGCTGCCAGTACTAGTGATTTGAGAATAAGTAAAAACTCTCACAAAATTTCCACGATCTAATTTTAAAATTCGCTCGAATAAAGGAAGAAAATTGTATGCACATTTTTAACGGAAAAACTCTATCAATACAACCATACTCCAGCATTAAGAATAAAATTTTGTTAAGGTAGTCGACAGCAAGTCATTCTATTAGAGAAACCGTAAATACCGCGCTGGGCAGCATTGGTCTCAGATCTGTGCAATATCAGTTTACAATAACAAAACATAAAAAACGTCCTAACTTAACAAAACTTAGATATAAGGCTGTTAATTACACAAGGGTTAACTAAAGTAAAAAATATTGCTATATGTAATTTATTAATTGAAAGTAACATCTTTTGTAAAACATAAATTGTATGAATGTTTGCGACTACTGTATAAGTGTAGCAGGCAGTTAGTGCAAGGCACATTAACTTGTACTGGTAAGACGTGGAGGATTATTATCATTATTAACTACATTATATTCCTTCATCTCCTGTTTGGTAAGGTCCCTGCGTACAGTATACCTCAGCGGCTGGTGCACCGTCACATGCCGGCCGAGGATCACTGTTCCGATAAGGGAGATGCTGAGGCGGGGCAGTGTTTATTGTAATCCTCACCTTGCTCAGGAAACGTCCATCATCCCTACCTGATTGTGGGTGGAGGTACACACCATGCACAGTAGATGGTACACACCACTGGAAATAATTACACGTTAAAATAACATCTCAAATAACACCAGAAAAAAATATATTAGATTACAAATTTTATGGAAACGTTGAACTGGTGCAACACTGTTGGGTGGGAATACAGTATTGGAATTCTGAGGAAATATTTGTATTGGCATACCAGGACCGCCGGGTTAATGTATATACACCCAGATTTTTAGCTCACAGTTGTATGAATTCCGTGGAATAACAACGTATAATTGAATGAAATTTTGTTTTGAAAATAATTGAAAAGGGAATAAAATGGTATTGTGATATTACATTTGTTTGGGGCGAGCTGAAAGACTTGTATTATTTGTACAATAGAAAAAATGGGCAACTCTACATTGTAATTATGGCCGAGGTTTACTGAGTATTGATTTGATGATGCAATGAGGTAGGGAAGAGCGGTGTATGGTGCAGTGAGCGGCCCTCGCTATGTGGGGAACAGCTGTGTACTTTTGATTGAAGGTCATACTTGAGGTGGATGAGGTGGTGGTGAGTAGAGGAGGTGATGGTAGATGGGGCTAGAGAAGGAGTAGGACTTAGGTGAAGGAAGGTGGGCGTGGAGGCGATGTGAATTAAGAAATTATCGAATAAAAGATTAAATAACACATAATAGAATGCAGAATAAAAGGAAAAATAACAAGGAATAGATGAGACTTAGAAAAAATAAAGAAAAAGTGAGATTACTTTGCTGTCACACACACACACACACACACACACACACACACACACACACACACACACACACACAATGTTGGTCCGACTCCGTGTATGGGGAAGGGACACTGGGTACCTTGTGTGTGTGTGTGTGTGTGTGAAAGGAACAGAGAAGATATTTTGCTAGCGATGTTTTTCATTCATACGATCAGTTTTGTGCCACGAAACAGAAAGTTAATAGATATACCAATGCAGGGAATAGATGGAATTACGATGGAGGGGGGGGCGGGGTAGAGATGCAAGCCACAGCTGACTCACCTGTTTCTCACTCTCTGTTGTTAAGGGACGTAGATCATCACACTTGACCTGTTGCTCCATACAACCATTATAAACATTAGTTACATCTCATACTACACGAAATGGTGAAATACTAATACAAATATATATATATATATATATATATATATATATATATATATATATATATATATATATATATATATATAATATTGTGTGTGTGTGAAAGCATTCTCTCCTTCATGATCAATGGGTTGGGCGTGACCTCGGCACTGTGCTGTGACCGTGTTATCGTAATTATATCTTGATGACGTCATTACCCACGTAACGGCTCATTGTTGCTCACTCTAACAGCCTTGTTTGTTCCGCCTCAGTCTTGCTCGTATTATATCACCCGACCCGTTTACCTTTTGTTATGTTTACCACACACACACACACACACGACTCCGTTTGGCCGCCCACAAACCGCCTACACAAGCTGGCTGTCACGATTGTTCGCAATTATTGGGATATATCGCCTGTATAATTATCCACAATATATACACTCGGAAGTTCAATCATATACCACACGGTGACTGTTTAGCCGTGTAAATTAATCCGTGTGTAAAAGTGTGCAAAAATTTTTCCTATCTAGGAAGGTGATGTAAAATGTACCTCTTACGGTGTCGTCTGTATATTTCAATTTCAACAGTTTATTTCATATTATAGGAAACTGGCCCTGGTGCTGTCACTAGGTACAATGTTACCAGAAACATCTAGCAGAAGTCTGAAGTACATTTAAATTAAATACTATAAAGGGGCTTTCTGAAGTCTAAGGAAGGAAGGATATTCCTTCCAAGTAACATCAATATTATTTATGAAATATATGGCCAGTATGCTGCTGATAAGTATGGTGCCTCCGTCAGGAGGTCGCTGAGTGGTGGTCCAGTAGGCGTCACTCATATGTATAATAGATTAAATTATTTAACAGGTGTTCTTTAGACCTTATGATTTTGCATTGTTGGGGGATTTTTTCACGTTTTGGGTAAATGTAAATGTATCCGTTTAAATGTCAATGAGCTTGATAAAAAGTCGCCTTTAAAAGTGGTGGCATGTGTTAACCCTTGGTGGGTGGTGGGCTGGACACGGTGTGGTGGTTAAAGTTATAAGGATACTTATGGCTGTCTGTGTGGTGGTCAGTTTTAGATGGATTTTTTTATAACGGTTACAAAGGCTGTGAATGTTGCCGGTGTAGGTAAGCGTTATACACTTATCTATGTGTACTTCAGCATCACTCTTGTTCTCTAGTTTTATTTTGCATAATTTTCATTGCCTCTCACAGAGTATTTCAAAATTTATAAGCAGATTGGTGGATGAATCGTGCAAGTATTTCCCAAGAGTTTTACAAACTTTATATGCTTCTTCCATCGCCTTTGGATAAATACTACAAGTAATGTGATTGAGTACAAGTGTTTAGTGATGCGCTTACACATTTGTACAAGTGTTTAGTGATGCGCTTACACATTTGTACAAGTGTTTAGTGATGCGCTTACACATTTGTACAAGTGTTTTGAACAGTATCATCATGAGTTTGAGATTTTTTAATTTATTTTTTATTATCTTCTCATCGCCCATTCTCTTGTATCGTTGTGTTGTCCAGTTAGTCACTCTTTGATCTAAAATTTTTCCCTGCTTGATATGATGTATTATTGTAAGTCTTATTTATATCTCGTTAACACTTTCATAATTTTCTCAAATACGAAGTTGTTGACGTTTCATTTCATGGAACACATTGAATATGTTAAGGATAAATAAGATTTGCTGTTGGCTGCCTCAAACCTCACTTCCAAAAATATCTCTCACGTACAAAAGCACTGCGCAGTCGACCATATATTGTCTCTTGACTTAGTACGGTGTTACCTGTGTACTGAGTGTAGTTATAAATCACCGTCTGTTGGAGCTAAATTAACCGGGTGTGTTTCTTGTGACTTGTTAGTACCTGTTTACTGTGTTCCGGACGTGTGTTGCATCATTGGGTGTGTAGTAAACCTGTATTTCGTTTCCCCAGGACCTGGAGATGATCTATGGGTGCCTGCGGGGCATGGAGGCACTGTGCTGGCTGCGGGAGCCCGCCCTCCGTGCCCTATGCCACACCGTCAGGTACCAGATCCACTATGCCAACGACATCCTTTATTGGTAAGACTTTAACCTGTTTTATCTCCATTTTGGCAGACTTCCCTGTATGTGTCTGAAGGAGAGTGTAGCGTGATAGTGTACCTTCTGAAGGATAGTGTAACGTGATAGTGTACCTTCTGCAGGATAGTGTAGCGTGATAGTGTACCTTCTGAAGGATAGTGTAGCGTGATAGTGTACCTTCTGAAGGATAGTGTAGCGTGATAGTGTACCTTCTGAAGGATAGTGTAACGTGATAGTGTACCTTCTGAAGGATAGTGTAGCGTGATAGTGTACCTTCTGAAGGATAGTGTAGCGTGATAGTGTACCTTCTGAAGGATAGTGTAGCGTGATAGTGTACCTTCTGCAGGATAGTGTAGCGTGACAGTGTACCTTCTGCAGGATAGTGTAGCGTGACAGTGTACTTTTAAAGGATAGTCTAACTGCTGTACAAGGGACCCATAACCAAGCTAGACTTACCCATAACATCACAGATAGATGGATGGATACGTTCCCTTCTGGCAGATTCTATCATTCTTATAATGGATAAAAACTGTGGATTCATTCATGTACAGAATTTTCAGGTTATTTTTCTATTTCTGAGAAAGTTTTACAGTGTATCAAAGTCCTCATAAGAACCAAGTTAAAGACACCGAAATAAAATACTCGAGTTACCCCGAGCATAGTCCCTCTAGTTGTCGTTTTCTGCAAAGGTCTTTCTGTCTTCATATTCTTTGGTCGACGTTGAGGAGTAACTATAATAGAAGGCTGACTATAATATTGTGGGGATGACTATAATAGAAGGGTGACTGTAATACTGTATTGTGGGGGTGACTATAATAGAAGGGTGACTATAATATTGTGAGGTGACTATAATAGAAGGGTGATTGTAATACTGTATTGTGGGGGTGACTATAATAGAAGGGTGACTATAATATTGTGGGGTGACTATAATAGAAGGGTGACTAAAATATTGTGGGGTGACTGTAATAGAAGGGTGACTGTAATACTGTATTGTGGGGGTGACTATAATAGAAGGGTGACTACAATATTGTGGGGTGACTATAATATTGTGAGGTAACTATAATAGAAGGGTGACTATAATATTGTGGGGTGACTATAGCATTGAGGGTTCGTATAACATTGTGGAATGCCTAGTATTAACGGGTGACTACAATATTGATGGACAACACTCATAATCATTAAGGCATAATACGCGTATTATTTGTAAATTACAGGTTACGAATTGTAAATAATTTTTTTTAGAAATTAGAAAATTATCATAAATGTTTAATGCAAAGTAAACCAATGGTTGAGAAATTTCGACCTGCTTTGTGCTTCCATCTGGTGTCAGTTCAGTGAAGGACAAAATCTCTACTAGGACCAGGCGCCCCCAGTCTAGCTCTTCTCTCTGCCAACAGATGGAGTCGACTGACCTACCATACCGAGTTACTTTGTTTACAAGCTGATTTAATCTTTTGTGTGTCTTTTATCAGCTGGAAACTTCATTAGAGGGGGAATACGAAAAAAATACAATGTGATTTTTTTTATTATCGTTCCTAGTCACTGTTATGATAAATTAATTAATTTTTTAAACGGAGTGGTTTATTTTTGTATGTCATTTACAAACGCTAAATATTACTATTCATAAACGTAGTCTTCCTACTTGTACATGTTTTTACTAAAGGTAATGGGAAGAGTTTTGTGGTAAAAGGTTATTTTTATTGTTAGCGAAGAAGGAAGATATGTTATGGATTCCTTTGTGTAGTTTACAGGGCTTACATTAAGATAAATAAAACACATATAATAACACCATAAAAGTCATCTTGAATTCACACATTATGAAAAAGTATTTATTCACGTATTGACCGAGTAAGTTGCAAGGTTCATGGTTTTAAAATTTCCTTATAATGAATATTCTTCGTATATATAAAAATATTTTGAACAGTATCTAATGACTGACTTACCATGATGAAGCACATAAGTATTACCCAGAAATAATATTAATTCAGAATTACACCAAGTCTCTACCGTAACTATTCAGCGTTCACTTAGCACCAGCAAGAGGATAAAATTAACGTAAGGGGAATATCTAAGAGTTTATCTACCTTATACCTAAACTGTTTCTAAGTGATGGTATGTAGTTACAGTCGAGTCTCTCTGTAATTTCGATGACATTTTTAAGGGGGGTGATATTATGTGTTTAAGCCATCCATGTTAATACTTTCTGGCATCTTCAATAAAGAGGAATATTCTGACCACTTGAAGTTTAACTCCTACAGCTTCTTTCACCTTAGGATTAACCACAGTAACGCTAACCTAACCTAACCTAATCTAACCTTCTTCCCTTTTAGATAACGTCAGGGTGTTTAATCTTCAGGTGATCCGAATATTTACCTTAAGAATCTATTGATAATCGAGAATCAGTGTTTTTGTTCGTCTGTTGTGAGTTGTTATGATATTCCTGGCTTCACTCCTCCAGGGATCAGGTTAAGGAGAGGCTCTTATGTTCACCTGCTGAGTAATGAAGGTGAATCTCATTTACTTAATTGAGCTCAGTTATGTGATCATGCCGGTGTGTGTGTGTGTGTGTGTGTGTGTGTGTGTGTGTGTGTGTGTGTGTGTGTGTGGCTGATGCCTCTATCATGTGTACAACTTAATCTTGTTAATGGTGAGGCAGTTAGGATAAAAAGCCACTAATTGACAACACGGGACTTTCCGTAATGATAAAAGTGTAAATGATGATGGTGATGTGGATAACAGTATAGTGAAGATAATAGTAATAATACTCCACTGTTATTAGTAGTAGTAGTAAAAAAAGTATTGGTGGTAGTAGTAGTAGTAGTAGTAGTAGATAAAAAAAAAAGTAAAAAAAGTATTAGTAGTAGTAGTAGTAGTAATAGTAGTAATACCTGTAAGATGCTCAGGGTCAAACAGTAAGTTATTCACATCAAGGGAGAATTGTATTGTTGTGGTGGGGGAGGATGTGAGGTTTCATTAGTGGATGTTCCCTTTGTTTCACCTCCTTCCCACTCCTTCAACCCCACTTTTCCGCCTCTTTTCCACTCCTTTTCCGCCTCTTTACCACTCTCCACCACCTTCTTTTCCTCCTGCTCTTTCGCCTCCACCTCCTTTTCCGCCTTCTTCCCTTTCTCTTGCACCTCCTTTTCGACTTTCCCACCTTTCTTTTTCTCCATTCCTACACCTTTTCCACTCTGACTCGCTTTCCACCCACCTCCTTTTCCCCCCTCATAGACTTTTCTCTCCCTTTCCCTTCCACCTTCAATCTCTCTACCATCCCATCTCCCTCCCACCCTCACCCTCTCTACCATCCCATCTCCCTCCCACCCTCACCCTCTCTACCATCCCATCTCCCTCCCACCCTCACCCTCTCTACCATCCCATCTCCCTCCCACCTCACTACCATCCCATCTCCCTCCCACCCTCACCCTCTCTACCATCCCATCTCCCTCCCACCCTCACCCTCTCTACCATCCCATCTCCCTCCCACCCTCACCCTCTCTACCATCCCACCCTCAGCCTCTCCCGTATGCAAATGGCTTCCCCGAGACCCTGTGAATTTGTTTACTTCCTCCAGTGCGAACACCAGTATTAAGGTCTCGTCTTTCCTTCGCCCTGGGAGAAAATGAGACATGTTAAAGATATTACTATATTTTTTATAATCATGAGATAATTTTTTGATTATTATGATTACAGTATTAGTAATAATGATAATACTTTAATAATAATAAGGGTGATAGATATGATAGTGTTAATAATAATATTAATAATAGTAAAATAATAATAATACAGTAATAATAATAATAACAGTGAGTTGTGTTAGGTCAGTGTATCTCTTGACTAACTTGACTGATGGATGTTTTCTTCACGTTTGAGGGATGTCTGTCTCCCTAAAGGTTTTCTGGTCTATGTAGGATTTAGTGATTTTTGTCCGATTAAGTTCAGGTTTGGTATCTAGTTATTTTTTCGCGATAATACTGTACAAAATTACCCTTGACAGCACTGTAAAATAACCTTTGCCAACAATACAAAATCACCCTTGACAACACTCCAAAATCACACTTAACAACACTACAAAATCACGCTTGGCAACACTCCAAAATCACACTTAACAACACTACAAACTCGCCCTAGCAGCACTACAAAATCACCCTTGTCAATGCATAATATTTACTTTTCCCATTTAATGAAATTTTACTTCTCATTAGACATTATCGTTGATTTTAACTGATGATGATGACGATGATGATGATGATGATGATGATGATGATGATGATGATAGACTGTTTCGTTCACTGAGCAAATCCTGATTTTTGTGAAAAAGGAACTCAGACGATTTTTTTTTATAAATTGAGTTTAAAAATATTGAATGATGATTTTAAGAGAACTTCCAAATAAATATCAAGTACTGGTATAAGGTTAGTAATTTCAATGATGTCCGCAAGAAAACTTTAGAATTAATATCAGTTATACGAATCACTTAAAAATTGGGCTCTAGCTTATTTCACCTGATGTTTAAATACCCTAACCTAACCAAACACCAAAACAACCTCATCTAACATCATAACAGCCTAACCTAACCAAAATCATAATAACCTAGCCCTAACCTAACCTAACAGCATTACAATCTAACCTAACCAAACATCATAATAACCTAGCCCTAACTTACCCCCTAAGTAGTGTTAAGGTGTTCGATCAACAGGTGAAATAATACAAGCTTCAGCAGGGGTTCTGAACCTACGTGAAGCCTCATCAGGAGATACAACGTAATATTGGGCGTACACAGAATATGGAAGCATTATTATTATTATTATTATTATTATTATTATTATTATTATTATTATTATTATTATTATTATTATTATTATTATTATTAGTATTATTAGTAGTAGTAGTAGTAGTAGTAGTAGTAGTAGTAGTAGTTAGTATTAGTATTAGTAATATTATTATTATTATTATTATTATTAGTATTAGTATTATATTTTCGCCTCTAGGTCCACCTG